ACCAGTGTTAGATAGCTTTAAATTTGTCCGACGAAGAAAACATTTGTCATATGAACGAAGGCAGAAATTTAATTTTCAATAATTTTCATGTAATCATATAATTTCCATTATCGAAATTATCGAGTGCAATAAAAATAGAATCGTTCGTGTTTGTTTTTTTTTAAAATATAATCGTATTTTTTTTTATCTATTTGGGTCATAATTAACTACGTATATCAATAATGAATACTCAAATGGTTGTTAGCTATTATCTCGTAAAAGTGACGATATAAATATACCTAATGTAAAACATATAAAAAGAAATGTTTTCAATTTTAATTTTGTAAAAATATTAATTAAACACGAATTAAATATTTAAAACGGAATATGTATAAATATCGAGGAATCGTCAAAAATTTACGAATACTTTTTTCAATTAACCTTTTTACTTACCCACCGATGATACTTCTTTATCGATGTTTAATAAATTAACGCGTCTTGTCTTCTTTCTTTTTCTTTTTTTTTAACTAATATAACATGATTGTTTATATATTTTTTTATATTTTATCAACTTTTTTATACCAAAACTTTATATCACGAATATCTATCTCGTTATCTATATTTTTTTAATTGTAAGAATCGAAGTCAGACTATCTCAATCTCAATACAATCGGTTCAAGAATAATTTCTATATCTTTCTCCACTTCACGTTTTTAATCTATCTCTCATTTTTTTTTCAAAATTATAGACTATCAGTAAAAGTAGCTGAATTAAGTCCGCAAATTGCGTAAATTGCCAACTTACGCTTTTCAACTTTCGTAATACGGTCCGAACGAATCAATTTATTCCTTGAATTAATTACAGCCTTTCAAACGGAATGTCTAACGATAGTAATTACAGTTCCTGTCGAGTGGACTGTCAACATACGTATCGGCAAAGTTGCTGGGATCAGTTTTTGGAAAGTAGTCGCCGTAAAAAGATATTAAAATTCTTAGAATGGATGGTATTCAGTACGAGTATCTGCGAGTGAATAAATATCTTTTATTCGTGCTAAGCGCATGGCCTTATCAAACCATTCTTCAACGAAGTCTGGTTGGAATTATCTTCATCCCCATTGTTATCGCTCAGCTAATTCTTCAGGTATCGATGCATTTGAATAAACATACGTTTATTATTTTTTTTAAATATATATATAATTATAATATAATTATCCAGATACACTTGAGGACACGAAATTACAATAATATTAATTTAAAAAGAAGGTTGGAACTTATATTTATACTTATACGGTTTTAAATATTTTTTTTTTTCAGTTTGGAGGAATGATAACTGCCATAATTGCTGGTGATATCGAGTCATTTTTGGAAAGTTTTGCACCTTTAGTCATTAGTTTAATGTGTTTTGTTAAGTATATCAATTTCCTATATTATTTCAATCAGGTACGCGTTTTAAATCTCTCTCTCTCTCTCTCTCTCTCTCTCTCTCTCTCTCTCTCTCT